TATGTTGGTTTTCATTGTTGTTTTCATGCCTCAAAACCGAGCTTTAGCTAGTTTTGTTGTGTTGCTTGGCGCGTTCAACAGATTCTTGGATCTGTTGGTCGTGCACTCTAAGTATTCTATCCACATCCATTGGTTTTAATGCAGATGGAAGTGGACCAAAATATTGGTTGTCTTCCAGTAAATCATGGCCATCTGATTCTGCAAGAGGCAACAATTGTTCAATAAGTTGGTTCTTCACTACCTTGGAGTTATTGCCTTCCCCTTCCACCATTTTTTCCTTTTCAGACATCACGCATTGTGCATCTTGTAGGATATTTGGTAATCCCTGCATATTGGTCCATTTGGCAGGTAAAAGAGTAGATATTTGGTCCTTACTCGATGTTGATGGATCTAAAGAACGATTCGTCTTTCCCTTAGAGTCATTGTCATTTCCTTTAGCTGTTGATCCCTTCTCAAGCCTTACACGCGTAACAGCTCTGAGGATCATGACAGCATGTTCTCGGATTAAATCCTGCATTTTGTTTGATGGAGCAGGTAGTGGACCTGACCACTTCTTCTTTCCCTTGCTATCATGGTCATCATGAATTGGTTCTTTCCTCATCTCTCTCTGAGTATAATTCTCTGAGCCCTCTTTTCTGCTGGACAACTGAAAAAATGCAGTAGCGTTTGTTCCTTCTTTTAGAACACCTCCTGATACATATTCATTTTTTTCATCAAGCCTACTCTGGCCTTTTGATTGGGTAAGGAGTTGTCTTCTGAACATGTTACTCTCCAATTGTGCATTAGCTTCAGCTAGTTGAATTTCCCTTATCCTATTGCGTACATACTTTCTGTCCCTTCTCCCCCTGATTTCTGTCTTTTTTGCATAAATTTGTGCATTGATCTTTCAGCGGGGGGGACACTGTGGCAAACTTGAGGTATCACAAGCAAATGGTTCTGTTGTGAAAAACTCACTCTTAAGAGCAAGAGCTGCAGTCCCTCTATATTCAGCTTCTATGGAAAGTAAAGTGTCCATTAGTCTTACAGCAGCAGCAGGAACATCATGAAAGGTCGCCTCGAAATTCCTTCTATAAGGCTCTATTGGCTTAAATATCTGTGCAGTAGGAAATTTGGATTTTTGCCAAAAATCATCAGATGGAGAACCACAGAGCTTGAAGACTATGCAGTTGCTCAACTTCAGTTCTACCAGGCATAATTGGCTTGCCAGTAAATAGTTCACCAAGTACACAACCAACACCCCATAAATCAACTCCAACTCCATAACAATTTGATCCAAGCAAAAGTTCCGGTGGCCGATACCAGAGAGTCACAACTTTGTTAGTTAAGGGAATGCATTGTTCTGGATCAAAAAATGTTGACAACCCAAAATCTGCAATTTTCAGGATACCTTCTTTGTTAACTAACAGGTTAGAAGTCTTTATATCTCGATGCAAGATACCACGCCTATGGCAGTGATTAAGCCCTTTAAGCAGCTGGTTCATGTAACATTTGATATCAGGTTCAGAAAACTTGACACCTTTGTGTTCTTGAATTCCCTTGAGATCATATTCCACACAATCAAAAACAAGGTACATTTTCAAGGCCAATTTGATAACACTCGGGTGATCACCAAGCCTTCTCAATATGATGATCTCTCTCGCCATAAACATGACACTCTCAGGATCAAGATTGTCCAAACGAACTTTCTTCAGAGCAACAACCTTATTAAGCACAGTATCTCGAGCCTTGTATGCATTACTGTAAGCTCCCTGGCCAATCAAATCTACAAACTCAAAAGTATCAGCTCTTCTTGGAAGCCATCCATTTAAAGCATTACCAGCTGCTGCAACAAGCCAATTAGGCCATCCAGCAGAAACTAGTTCACATTTAATGCCTTTTGGTACTCCTCTGCTGAGTCTTGGATTCGGTTTCCGTCTCCTGGCATGAAAGATTTCTTCTGCCGTAAATGTCTCAACTCCATCTGAAGCTTGTGTTCCTTCATCTGATTCATCTCAGATAGTTGAAAATATTCTACTGCATCTGAAATCCATAGTTTCCAAAATGAAAACCAATTTAAAAAAACTAGTTTCCTAAAGATTTGGTTAGATACCAAGAAAACAAACATTCGTAGATAGTTGACTTCATAAAGCAATAATGGTTCGCTTTGTAAACAAAGAAGTTTCCTAGAAATCATCAATTTGGTACAAATATAATACTAATAAGAATAATTTAGTGAAAGAGACAGAAGGTTCTATATAGTAGCTCACCAAAACCTGAGTTTTGTTTGGTATAGGAACTTCTTAGATGAGTACACTTAAGATGCACTGTATTTGGTAGGCTGAAAAGAATTTTTGAGAAATATATTTGTGTAGAAAAACAAGTATTTTTCTGAAAATATTCTCTTGACAAATGGTTTCCGATATTAAGTTGGTCGGTATAACATCACACTCTATATTGCCAATTGCATCAAGTTAAAGATTCTATATGTTTGCTTCATTCTTTCTGTACCAATTGCATCAAGTTAAAGATTCAATCTGAGGCACAGACGGTCAGATCAAAGATGTTACAAATTGGCAACTTTTGTGAAGTCTAAGTACTTGTTGCAGCATGGCAGTGCAGGATGCTGCTTTCACCTTTCCATTATATATATAGTTAGTAGTAGTGTTTTACGATGACAGCAATGCTTAAACTATAGAATGATGTTGCTGATGAATTTTTAATATTTATCACAACAGATATACACTATGAAAAGCAGCCGAAGGGGTCGGGCTACAAGTTACTGGGATGCATCAATGAACGAGAAATTAAAGGGAATGGGTATACAAAATCAAAGTATGACAGCAGATCGCGTTCCACGATTTAAAGAAACAAACTTATGAAAACAACTTCCAGACCAACTTAATATTGAGCACTTCAAGAAAAGCTAACTGTATGAGATTACACATTTCATATAGAAAGTCTAAAATCAAGAAGGATTTCCAACCAAAAATCTCTTACTGATCAACAGTCCTGGCAAATAGTTAGGCATAACTGTATCATTGTATCTGAGGCATAGAAAGTCATTTTATGTCTCTGATTGCGAACCTTTATAAAGTCTGAGTACTTGTTGCAGTAAGCGGGATAATTAGTTTCACGTTCCCATTCTGGAAATAGACTATATTGAACCAGGTCCGAATGTACTTTTTTTCTGTAAATAAAGTGAATATCCAAGCAGCTTGTATTGGTTTTCATACCTCAAAACTGTGCTTTAGCTAGTTTCTTCTGTTGCTTGGCGTGTTCAACAGATTCTTGGATCTGTCGGTCATGCTCTCTAATTATTCGATCCACATCAATTGGTTTTGATGTAAATGGAAGTGGACAAAAAAATTGGCTGTCTTCCAGGAAATCAAGGCCATCTGATTCTGCAGGAGGAAACAATTGTTCAATAAGTTTGTTGGAGTTATTACCTTCCCCTTCTGACATTTTCTTGTCAGACATCACCAATTGAGCATCTTTTAGGATCCGTGCCTCGTGCTCTCTTGGTAAGCTCTGCATACTGGTCCATTTGTCGGGTAATAGAGAAGATATTTGATCATTAGTCGATGTTGATGGACCTAGATTTGTCTTTCCCTTCGAGTCATGGTCATTCCCTTTAGCTGTTGATTCCTTCCCAAGAATCATGTTGTCATGCTCTCTGAGTAATGGACCTGACCACTTCTTCTTTCCTTTGATATCATGGTCATCATGAATTGGTTCTTCCCTTATCTCTCTCTCAGTATAATTCTCTGATCCCTCTTTTCTGCTGGACACTTGAAAACATTCAGAAGAGTTTGTTCCTTCATCTAGAACACCTCCTGAGACATATTCATTTGTTTTTTCAAGCCTATTCCGGGCTTTTGAAAGGTTAAGGAGCTGTCTTCTGTCTATGTTACTCTTTATTTCTGCATTAGCTTCAGCTGCTGGAATTGCCCTTACACTTCTATCGCATGCATAATTCCGGACCCTCCTCTTGATTTCAGTCTTTTTTGCATAAATCTCTTTGCTGGGGGGGTATTGTGGCAAACTTGAGGTATCACAAGCAAATGGTTCTGTTGTGAAAAACTCATTCTGAAGAGCATGAGCTGCAGTCCCTCTATATTCAGCTTTTAAGGAAAGTAAAGTGTCCATTAGTCCTACAGCAGCTGCAGGAAGATCATGAAAGGTCGTGTGAAGAATCCGTCTATAAGGCTCTATTGGCTTCAATATCTTTGCATTTGGCAATTTGGATTTTTTCCAAAAATCATCAGATGGAGAGCCACATAGCTTGAAGATTTTATGCAATTGCTCAACTTCAGTTTTACCAGGCATAATAGGCTTGCCAGTAAATAGTTCACCAAGTACACAACCAACACCCCATAAATCAACTCCAACTCCATAACTATTTGATCCAAGCAGAAGTTCTGGTGGCCGATACCAGAGAGTCACAATTTTGCTAGTTAAAGGCATGCTTTGTTCTGGATCAAAAAATGTTGACAACCCAAAATCTGCAAGTTTTAGGATACCATATTTATCAACTAATAAGTTAGAAGTTTTGACATCTCGATGCAAGATACCACGGCTATGGCAGTGATCAAGCCCTTTAAGCAGCTGGTTCATGTAACATTTGATTTCAGGTTCAGAAAACTTGACACCTTTGTGTTCTTGAATTGCCTTGAGATCATATTCCATGCATTCAAAAACAAGGTACAAACTGTAGTTCATTTTCGAGATGGCTAAACCTTCCAATTTGATAACGTTCGGGTGATCACCAAGCCTTCTCGATATAATGATCTCTCTTGCCATAAACTTGACACTCTCAGGATCAAAATTGTCAAAACGAACCTTCTTCAGAGCAACAAACTTATTGAGCAAACAATCGCGAGCTATGTAGACATTACTGTAAGTTCCCTGGCCAATTTTATCTATTTTGTTAAAAGTATCAGCACTTCTTGGAAGCCATCCATTTAAAGCATTACCAGCAGCTGCAACAAGCCAAATAGGCCATCCAGCAACAACTAGTTCACCTTCTATGCCTTTTGGTACTCCTCTGCTGAGTCTTGGATTCAGTTTCCATCTCCTGGTGTGAAGGATTTCTTCCTTCTCTTCTGCCACAAATGTCTCAACTACAACTGAGGATACCGTTCCTTCAACTGATCGATCCCTGATAGTTGAAGATTTTCCATGACTAGAACCCATAGTTTTCCAAATGAAAAACAATCTAAGTCTTGTTTTACAACACAAACTAATTCTTCTTGCTTAAAGCTTTGGTTACATACCAAGAAAACAAACATTAATAGAAAGATGTAGGAGAACTCAAATCACAAATCAAGGGAGTTGACTTCTTAAAAACAATAATAGTAGCCTGAGTTGTAAACAAAAACTTTATCCTAGAAATCATCATTATACAAATACATATTTCTGTCTCCTTGTGCTAAGGTTTTCTTCCTGAAAAAACAAGACAATCCAAAAAAAGGGTCTTCTATTTACACGCTTTCGCGAAGTAGGCTTACCATATAGATGCAGCGCTTGCAAGGCAATTCAGACGACTATAGCAAGATGTAGGTGAAGTATAAAAAAAAAACTAGTAATAAAATTTGTTGCCAAAAGAACTATTATGTCATTAGTTGAAAATCAAGAGAATCACTAAAATATTAGTTGAGATAATGTTGATAATTTATCATATAACTAAAATCCTACCAATTAAAAATGCTTGCTCTATTCATGTAAAAAAAATAAGGAAAGTTCCTGTATAAGGAGGGTGGGAATCCTAAAACTAATCAAATTATATGATTTCTAGTTCATTGTTTTTATGATAAGAAGTTATGGGTGCGTTTAGTAAACAGGAAAATATTTTTCGGCGGAAAATGTATTCCAAGAAAATAAGTGGGTTCCTTATGTGATCGGTAGCTAAGCAAAAAAAATTATTCTAAAAGCATTTATATATACTTTACACAAATACTATGAAAGGTGAGTGCAGGGAGGTAGGAGTGGGGGATGGTGGGAACGAGGGCTATGGGAGTGAAGGTAAAGATGAAGTGTGTTGGAGAGTGAGAGAACACAATGAAACAATGTGAAATATCAGTGGATCAACTTATCTTCCATACTTTCATTAGTAAAGTCATTAGCCTCACTTTTAAGAAGCTCGTTTTCTTAGAGAAAATTTGTTTTCCAAGATACTTGACCAACCGAACATGAGAAATTGAAGAAAATATTTTCCTTCATACCAAACACACCCTATATCTCTCATTTGTGAGTTACAAGAACGCTGAGAACAAATTTGGCAAGTTTTAATCACCACAACGTGATCACAAATAGGAGTGATCATAGATCACCGAAAACCGAATTGCCAAATCAAACCGGAATTTACCGTACCAAAGTTAACCAAACTTCGAAATACCAAACGCCCAGCCCAAGTTAATAACATAAGTAGAGGATTAAACAACTATTTTCACTAATTAAACACAACCTCGCCAATCATATTAAGAACAACAACATCATTTAGATCTATGTTATGACAAAATAGAAGAGAAAACAATCTTTAAGTTATACATTTGATGTCCTCTCAAAACACATGGTAGCAACAGAATATTGGCTATTGTAAATTTTGAAAACAGGGAAAGTTCTCTTCATCCCTCTTTGCTATCTGCAACTGCTACTTGATCTGTACAATCTAGTCAATGTTGTGAAAACCTGGAAGAAGGGAAGTTATGAAGCCAAAGACAATCATTTGGATCTCCTTTGCAATACCCCACCAGCGGTTGCCACCGTCAGCAGCTCTGGGTTCCACTGCCTGCTCATTCTCACCTACCCTATTTACGTCGTTACCTAGTAGATTTTCATTCTCGCCTCCAGGTTGTCCCTCTGCCAGAACAATATGACAAAGAAGAGTTAAGAGATGTTCCGGTATCCACATTAACTCTTACGTTATGAATGCACACATTTCCCAGCTGATATTCCAGACCAACATGAAAGCAACATTCAGTTGATGTTGGTAAATTGACATGGTTAGTTTTATAAAAGGAGGACTAAAATTCTGAGACCTACCCAAAAAGAAAGGCACCAAGTGTCGGTTTATCAGTACACCAGCCTACAATGTGTTATATCTTTCTTTTGAGAGAATGTAAAGGGTGATGCACCAAGATGGTGCTGGGCAGGACAACAAGGGCACAGTCCCCATGTACATCTAAGATGTGTTTATCTATTTATTGACATAAGCTAAACGGAAGTACCTCCAGCTGCAACATTGTCATTTCCTTGCCTTCCAGCACCTGGTACATTATCTGCCCTGACAGCTGGCCTAGGTGGTTGAGGAGGTGCAGCAGCCCTCTGCATTCCTTGTGAAAGCCACCGTACCAAAGGTGCAAGAGCTCCAGTTTGATATCTACAATGACCAACAGGAAATATATGGCGTGACTTAACGACAAAGCAAAAACAAAAGACATATTTCAATGAACACAATCGTAAGATCCTGTTTGGATTGGCTTATTTTTAGGTGCTTTTACGCCAAATAGTTTTAAGCCCTTTTGTAGTGTTTGGGTAAGATAAGAAGTGCTTTTAAGCCAAAGAACAAAAATAAGCCAAAAGTCACAAGTTAAAGATTCCTAATATATGTCCTTAAGTTATAAGCCTATCCAAACAGGCTCTAAGTTCTCCCTCCTTCATAGGCAATTCAACCACAATGCAAATTATATGATTTTATCGTTAGAAAAAACTAAGAAACGAAAAATATGGAGGCATTTTAGCACTAAATACACTTGAGGAATGTTTTCCAATTTTCCCATGTTCGGCTGTCAAATATTTTGGAATACACTTTCTCCAAGAAAAGCAGCTACTTAAAAATGAGAAAAATAAGCTCCCTAATGGAAGTAGGAAAAACAAGCTCTACTAGTGACATTCCACATTGATTGTTTCCTCCCTACACTCCAAATGCACGTCATCTTCACTCTCACCCCATAGCCCTCATTCCCACCATCCCACATCCATACCTCCTCACCCCCACCTCCCATAGTATTTGTCTAAGTTATATACAAAGGCTTTTAGGATAATTTTTTTGCTTACTTACCAAACACAAGAAAAATTAGTAGGACCCACTTATTTTCCTAGAAAACATTTTCCTTCAAACCGAACACACCCTTGTTCAAGTTGGTTACTGTGGTATGCAAACATACCTAATGGGGCCAGTAAACAAGCATAAATGGTCGGGAGAAAAGCTAGAGGGTTCACCTTCAAGACAATGAACAATTCACTTTAGTGTTCCACAATGGAGCAAAGAGAGAATGGAAAAGGAGACCAAAAGGCACCAAAAGAACTATGCCCAAGAAAGGAAACCAAGGAAATGGGATGTGATAAACTATAAAAATCAACTGAAGATCTGAATGCTATTTAGGAGAACAAAACAAATATAGGGACAACTTAGCTGTTTTCTTTTCCAAAGAAAAAGGAAACTTTAGTTTATCCTTTAGTATATCCACATTCTCATTCATATTGGTTATGTTGCAGAACTTGATGCGTCCAAAAGAATTCTTAATTGTCACAACAACTTTCTAAGACCAAATTGTTAGTATTTAATAAAATGAATAAGCAACAACCCAGTGTAGTCCCATAAGTGGGGTCCGGGAAGGGTAGAGTGTACGCAGACTTATCCCTACCTTGTTGAAGTAGAGAGACGGTTTCTGAAAGACCCTCGGCTTGAGTAACGCACAACACAACAAATAAAATAAATAAATAAATAAAAAGGAAATAGAAGTGATCATAATTGACAAATACTTACAGGTACACAAGTGAAGCTAAAAACACAAGCAGAACAAGCCTCTGTCTTGATCCATCTTGATTGAACAAAAAAATTACTGCAGCCAGCTTCAAAATAAGCAAGAGATCTAGCTGAAATGCAATTTGAAATCTTCTGACAACTATTTGTCGTTGGGGTCCAAGCTGTTGCTGCTGAGGCTGCTGCTGTCCCATCTGACCTTGCTCCTCACCTACAGCTCCATTTTCTGGAATACTAGGTCCACTGTCAAGAGCAGCATGTTTTGTTTTTTTAATTTTTGCAAGGAGAGACTAATAAGGCTCTGCTCGAATAGGTTTTTTAGGGAAGTAGCCCTTTTAAGAAACTAGAAAGTATAACTTCCAATACTTCCGGCTTAAGCACTCAACACCGGGGCTTCATGTTTTGTCAGAGTATGAAGGCAAATGAAGGGAATAAAGTTATCAATAACATGACATGCAATTGATTGGATATATATACCTACTAGTTTCCAGGTGCATGAGAAATAAGTATGGCTTCATCCCTAGTATTTTAGGTTGATGTCATTTAAGCAGATGATAAGTACAACAATGGTAACAAAGAACTATGTATCTTCAAGCAACTAAGAGGCATGAACACCAAGTAGAGAACAGAAAGAGAAACGAGCTAACATCTTTTAATTTGTTGATCAGGTTAAAGTAAAAAAGTGTTATTTATAATCAGCAGCAAAAAGGCTGCTAAGTATGTACAGGAAAAGGTGCTAGTCACATAAATCATGTCCAGCACAGTACGACACCACATTAGGTTCCTTATCAATGAGCGACTATTCAGGAGTTCAACCTTAATGATGATATAATGCCGCAGACCAGAATCTGAGACTTGGCCAACGTGAAATGTTACAGGAGTTCTTCAAGGAGAGAAAGCAAAAATGAGAACTGTTTACTGTGCATCTATAAAAAGCTTTTACCGTATTTTGCTAAAGAGAACCAAAAAAATTGAAGTTCTTTGATTCAAATAAATAAATCACAATCACAATCTTTCTCCCTCCCTGCCACAAATGATCCAAAAACTTAACTGAATACTAAGATCAGTTACTTGCCTATTAAAGACTGACAACTATCTAACATAACTTTTGCAGAGTTTAAGAGAACTGCCTGAGAGGGTTTAAATGGAGCGACATGGTCAATGAGGATTAATGTAGCCAACCCTAACTTGGTTGGAATTGTGGCATTGTAGTTCTTTTTGCTAGTTTAGACTTCAATTCCAAAATATAAATTCACAAGTCAAAGGGGTGTCAAACATTTCTAGAATAAAGAAGGTGCCAGAATTTAGTGAGTGTATTGCATGTACACAAAAAGCTCTGAACAGCAGATTTGTAGGTTTACCAAGAAATACTAAATCATCCTTATTCCAACTTAAATGGTCTGTGCAGGTAAGTCTTGTTCTTTTTGTCATTATTATCATTCTATTTATTTTTATTTTCCTACTCTTGGATGATTTTTAAAGGAGGTTGGATATTCTAGGCTGCAGCAACTTTAGTTACCATGTTTCCATTGTCTAGCCAGAAGTGTTAATCCGCTGGTGCTATGGACTTGGGGGACCTTTTTTAAAAAACGAACCAAAATTGGCTAAAATGCACTTCTACTGATGCAGCAGAGAATTTCTTAAACACCTGACATGTTGTACTCCTGAATAGAGAACTTCAGCTTTGATTATAAAAGCATTGAATATACATGCACAAATCTACAATTCTTGCTACATCAGATATGGAGTCAAGAAGCTGAGTACTAGGCAGATACAGCTATCTAACTGAATATGATGCATTAATTCAAATGGAACAATGGAAAATAAGGAAACCTATTTAATTCCTGTGTTGTTCCATGCTGAAAGTGAAGTCAGCATGCCAATTACAGAGGCTAAAGATGATGATGACAACTTATACATCAAAAACTAGATCTGAAGTCTCAGGGACACTTACGTAGGTACAGCGTAAGTAAATGGAATTAGAGTGTTTGGTGGAAACCCTGCATATTGTCCCATAAAAGGGGCAACAGGTACAGCATAAAGGCCTGGTCCATGGTTCAACTCCTCCTGGATTGGCTGCATACCGAGAGCTCCAGGAAGTAGTGTAGGATACATGGCTTGGAGCATCTGATAATTCACCATCGGTGAACCCTGAAATGATGGGAGCTGTAAAAACAGATAAAAGAATTAGTGAATAACTTCTCAAATGCAAGGAAGCATTTTCTTTCACAAAAAAAGTTCATAAAAAAGCCAAGCAATATCCTACTGACAAGGAAAAGTTAGTGGCTGCAAAATATCCAGGCTCTCAAAATTGCAAAGGCATTTGCCTACCAAAAGGTGGCCAGTAAATCCTTTTGACATCAATGGGCATAATAAAGACAACTCGCATGACTGTCTTGTTAGGCATCGACCAAGACTTATAATCCTACCAAATTCAGCAATTGTCGTGAGTGGTGCAATCAAGTTCATAACAGAGAAGCATCTTTCGAATTAACTCTTCCAGATTACCACTCCATTGATCTTCACTTGATGCACGCACCCCTAAAACCAGATTGAATGGTAAGGTAGGAATTTGATGAAAAATCATACTCTAAAAATGGGATTGTGGTCCACAAGTTGGATAAAGAAAATTCATATAATTGGATAAATTGGGGAACCAAGTAAACAAAGAATGCTACAAGCAGTTTGGATAAACGTATCCAGTTGTATCTTATTTTGTATGATTAAACATATCTAAATGTAGAAGTCAAAAAAAAAAGATTTGTGAGTGAAGTGGGAGGTATAGTGCTAAATGAGCTATTTCTTGGGTCTTAAATTCCAAGCAGTGTCAGGCTGTTTGGAAATTCCCTTCACCTCAGTGTGCAAAATCGGTTTTAAATCTCAATCAGTATCCAAAAGCGACGGATAACCAATCTCTGATTTACTCACTCCATCATGGCTATAATAAAGAGTGTAACAAATTAAAAAGAATATTCCAAATGGAATCGCATCCATGCATATGAAGCAAAAACAATCATCGATGCATCCATACATTATGAAAAGCAAGAAGGACTCAACATTAGAAAGACAATTTAGAATTTCTACATTTCAATCTGCAATGTAGCTCTCCCAAAGACACGGGATTATGCAGCTAATCGATAGCATTTCGTGGCTCTGGAAAGTTAAAAGGACATCTTTTTTTCCTGGTTTAGGGTAAATACCAAGTGCGGGTAAGTTTTTACCTCTTCCCCCACTCCCACCAAAAAAAACATTGTTGTCCTTTCCTAGATAAGATAGATTTCCTTTTAAACGCGTCTAGTGATTCAGCACATGTTTAGCAGGTCCATGTAGATTGAGATATAACATCCTCCAATGTGTAAGCATGACATTGACTCTTACCAATTTTCGAGCTGTAATTAATGCTTTACAAATAGAGAATGTTGGATGCTTGATAATGACATCAAAAGCAAGCAAACCAAGAACCTATAACTTCATTAGGGTTATTCAGCTACCAAGACATTGTACTTCTCCTCATTATAGCTCACTTTCACCCACAGAAATGTGCTAAGGTACATGTACAACGGACACGTGTGTAGGGTTTGTTTACAACGGACATTAATTTTTCAATTCCACTCACAGAAACATGCTAAGGTATATGTACAACAGACATGTGTGTAGGGTTTGTTTACAACGGACATTAATTTTTCACTTCCACTCACAGAAACATGCTAAGGTATATGTACAACGGACACGTGTGTAGGGTTTGTTTACAACGGACATTAAATTTTTCACTTCCACTCACAGAAACATGCTAAGGTATATGTACAACAGACATGTGTGTAGGGTTTTTTACAACGGACATTAATTTTTTCACTTCCACTCACAGAAACATGCTAAGGTATATGTACAACGGACACGTGTGTAGGGTTTGTTTACAACGGACATTAATTTTTCACTTCCACTCACAGAAACATGCTAAGGTATATGTACAACAGACACGTGTGTAGGGTTCATTTACAACGGACATTAATTTTTCACTTCCACTCACAGAAACATGCTAAGGTATATGTACAACGGACACGTGTGTAGGGTTTGTTTACAACGGACATTAATTTTTGACACGTAAAAGACATTGAACTCCAAAGATTAAAGCCCTGAAAATGACAAGAGAGGTTATTCCAGTGGCGCACGAACACTCCACTTTCAACCTAGAATCTGGGATCAAATTGGGAAGGCACAGCTGTTTTCACTTGGAAGAGGGTTCCGGGATGAGGTTTTACTGTATCCCCATCACACACACACACACAGGAACTTCAAATCGCATACATCTTTCCTACTTACAGGTTTTGCCCTTATCAACAACTATAAATAGACCAAAGATCAATTTTTTTATAATCAACACCAGTTTTTTTTTTGGAATTCCTGAATCGTAGATACATTGAATATACAACAAGGACTCTTTAAGCCAAAAACATTAACATCAAACTACATACCCTAATTTTCCACCAACAAAACAAAATTCTACTTTACATCCATCATAAAACGAGAAGGCAAAAGAAGGAACTCCATCTAATTCAGAAATGTTACACCACTAAAAAAAATCTTAATTTATTCAATTCAAGTTCATACCCAACAAACAATTTCCACCAAAGTCAATTCTTGAAATCACCAAAAACAAAAAAAAGTAACTTAATTGAGAAAATGGGCACCTGGGGTTGTTTCTTGAGGGCATCTTCTGGAGATTTTTGATAAGCAGAGGCAGAAGAAGACGAATGTTGTTCCGAGGTTGAGCTGAGATTTTCATGTTTTTCCGCCATTGAAGCTTTCTCAATTTTCTCTTCTTTTTTTGCTTCTCTTGTTTTTGAAGATCGGAGTATTGCTCACCCCTTTTTTTTTCAATAATAAATGTTAGTCTAATTTTGCTCTCTATTTTTTAGCTACGTATTTTTTCACTATCTACTCCAATAGGAACAAGCCACGTTGTTTTATTTAGTGAATGATCTGGCAATGTTTGGAGTATAAATAATTTTCTTCATTTTTTTCCTTTTAAATTATATTTTTGGAACTTTACATTAGAAAGTTACTAGTATTTGTTATTAAAATTAATGGAACACTAAAGTATGACGGATTAATGTTAAGTGTTAAACTATTTCGAAAAAAATATTTAAATTTATTTCTATATTTATAGTTATAATTTAAGGTTTTGTGTTTACTTCTTTAGATTTTAATGTCATGTTATCTCAATTATAAGAGTCATCGAAGATTCGAGGATCGAGATGTTGAACTATGACGAACAACTTGAAGCAAATTGAAATGTTATATAGCATGAAATAATGAATCAAATGAAGCTGACTTTTGTTAATCGTCTTTTTAGTGGAACAATATTTCTAACGGTCTAATTAAGAAATTATTGACTGCTTGTACAAAACTTTTGGCCTAGCAAATACTAAGACCACCTGTTTGTACGATAGCTAATTACTTCCTATTGTAGACAAATAATATTGCATGTCTAGGTGTTACGATCTAAAATTCAAGATCACTAAACTCTAATTCATCGGCATGTAAGTCAATTCTTCATTCAAATTGTGTAAAATTCAATTATGTGGAAGTAAAGTCTCAAAGTCTATGCCTTTATAATATGGTTAAAGTGCAAAAATGACAAATATACTCAATATCTTTTAAAAGCTTAATACAATTATTTTTAACTACATATTGTTTTTGATATGTTGGATTAACTAAATGAACCCATTGGCTAAATCCACATTCATCACTAATTGTCTATTTTTGGCATTTCTAAACATTCTTGTAGGATTGGTTAGTGTTCTTGACATCTCAAGTTTCGCAAGTCCATAATAGCAAAAACATATAATTATAATTAAGTTTTTGAAAAACGAGAAATATAAACGAGCAAAAATAAAACTAAAAAAATTGAAGAAAAAAATCGAGTACTAATGAAGGATATGCACGAGTCTGAAGAATGACATAAACAGAAAAAGTAACGAAAAAAAAATTGTAGAGGAAAAACTGAATGAGAGGTAAAAAGGAGCTCAACTTTTAATCAACAATGGTGTTGAATAATTGGGAAAGAAGATGATTGTTATAAATGCCAAAAGTATTGCTATTACCTTTTCAAAAGGCCTCATGCTTCGAAAATGAGTGTATCACACGCACATCATTTAAATATGCTTACATTGGATGAACATGCAACCTTTTTTAGAAAAAATTATCTTATTTCATTGAGTTTAAGTATTCGGTCGATAAAATAGTAAATAGAAAGATCAAACTGACAAACAAAGTCAAATACAAAATTTTCCCTTGTTATTTCAACTTATTGAAATTTACTTGTTCCTACATCATTCTCATTGAGGTAGATTTAACTATAGGATGGCAATGGGTCGGGCGGATGCGGGGCGGGTTTAAGGCTATATGGGGCGGGGCAGGTTTAAGGTTGTGTGGGACGAGGAGGATGCGGGCTGGATTGAAGTGAGTTTTTTTAAAATTAATATGGGGCGGGGCGGGTTGCTGTGATTTTATGTGGATTCAAACTTAATTTTAACTTTTTACATGTTATAAGAGTGATAGAACAGTATTTATTAAAATAATTTCATTAAAGCTAATAAAATATTCAAGATAATAAATAAAAATGGTTCAATTAAAAATAATGCAATTTTTTAAATTATTCCCACTTGACCTCTAAAAAATAAAATTTTAAGTCACTATCCTATTAAATTAATACAACTTAATAAAAAAATGAATTTATTTTTATGAATTTTATTTTTAATATCAAACATAACTAGAAAAAGAAAATATCAAGAAAATTATGCAGGGCGGGTTCATGCGAAGCAGGTCTATGCGGGACGGGTCTATAATGAAAAGAGTTGTTATGTGGTGCGGATTAAAAATTTTGCAGGTTAAGGCTACTTAACTAACCCTTGAAAAATATTTCACGCTACTGAAATAATTTCTTAGGATAGTAATTATTAGTAACACTCTTGTTATTTAAGCTTCACATTATCTTGTGCTAACATACTCTTGTTATTACATCTATCAAGTATCTCTTTCAAGAGGCATAATATCGCCTCGCAATAGATGATAAGCAGACCAACAGAAGAGCTGAGACGGTGATGATATCGCTGACAACAGGTTAAAGCCATGGCAATAACACATCAGACATAAAAGCAAACAGCATTAAACTAAACAGGCTGATTATTTTCCAGATCATACAGTTCAAACACCATCATAAATACATAGATTTTTTCTAGGTAGGCTGAGCATTGAACCACTACATTGAACAAGACCATGGATTGAAGAACTAAAACCCCAATCTCCGATCTGTGTAACTTAGCTTGCTCGTCCTTCATGAGGTAAGCAGCTTCTTATGTTTTCCAGGTTTTCAAAGAATTTACAAGGTTACTAAGCCTGCAAAAATTCAACAATATATACAATTAGGGTGGTATTAAGGTATGTATAACTAATGCATAGACATCCATGATACTAGTGATGCAACGAGTTCTAATCCATGCATGGTTGAAGGCACAATTGTCCCTCAAAACCTTTTCCACATCCTTCCCATCATATTTGTGGAGGATGTTTTTGAAAACAAAAAACCAAACATTGCATTAGGGTAGCGGCTGCGAGTTTCCCTTGTCATAAAAAAAAAAAAAAAAAAAACAAACATTGCATTAGAAACAACATAACTCAACAAGCATTACTAATACACCATATTAGCATTATTCTTGTACACCCAACCAAACGACCCCTTAAAGAAATGCACATCTTACCACTTTTTATGATAAACCAAATTGTATTATCAAGACCACAAATCTTGTTTAAATTGTAAAATATAAAGTTTGCCGGCTGCAGTTCTCTGATCAGTTCAAGATCCAACAGACTTTTTAATCCTACCCCCCCCCCCCCCCCTCCCCCACAACTCAAAAAAAATAAAATAAGGGAAGACACATCTTAAAGGTATTGCCTGGAAGACTAGGTCAACCAAGAAATGCCTTGCCTTGGCTTACAAAAGGGAATTTCATGAGATGTATCAAAAGCCGCTAGGATAAAATGACTCAAAACTAGAATTGATAGATTAAAAGTAGATCCCTCTAGACAGAATTGAAAAGTAGATGCAGATCACAAAATGCAAGTGTTGATAAACAACTTACTACAGAAGCTCACTACACAGACAGGTCATTTATCCTTCGTCCTCAGATTTAGAATCATAATCCGGGTTGTCCTCAAGCTTCACCTCCACTTCCACCACCTGCACTGGGGTTGGGAACGCAGGCCCTGCAAGAAGGAAGGAATGCTAAGAATATCATCAATGTTGCCATTACAACTATACCATAGAGCTGCTGGATAGGTTCACTGCTGTATTTCCAAGTACAGCAGCAACTCTGATCCATTAAAATGTTGCCAGAGACAAATATAACTAAATATTGAGAGAATTCTTTTCATTAAGGGCGTCTTTGAACTCCACTACTTCCCCATCTCCACGAGGAATCAACCTATTTAAACACATATAGCAAAGACACCACATTCTCAAGACAAAATAAGAGACATCCCAAAGAACATGCAGCAAGTATTCCAGGTGAAGGAAATTAAGATTTGTTTTTTCCATTTATGATCCCACTGGTTTCAATACAATTAGATTTCAGCTATTCTGCTGATGAACAGAAAGTTTCCACCTGGGAATCCTCAACCAAATGTGTCTTTGTTCCAATCGCCGTGATAGGCTGGTCCGTTTAAAGAGAGTGAGTTTCTGATCATAATGACTACCTAATGTCGGATTTCCAGTTGTAATTCCTAGTTTGGGGTGCCAATAGTAGTTCAGTCGTCCTTCCGCTTACACAAGTCAATATGGGTGCTTTTCTGCTCTACTTCCCGAAGGGAGGTTGAAATCTGTTACAAAATAAGCTGCTCTTCTTTCATAGGCAAATGTACTTGGTGCTTCCATATGTAGAGAATGCATTTAGCTCTTTATGACCTTGCAATGCGACTTACTAGAAGAACAAAAGTTCATCAAATATATGAAATAGTATAATGTAGCTCCCAACTAAAATAAAGAAAATAAACTTCCTTGTTTACTATTCTCTCTGCCCCAATTTATGTGGCACACTTTCCTTTTTAGTTTGCCTCAAAAAAAAAATGTCACCTTTTTCTAATTGGAGACAACTTAACTCTAAATACTCTTTTACCCATAATGAAATGAATTTTAGCAACATAAATGTCTAAGCTTTGTTTTCGACCACAAGTTTTAAACTTCTTCCCTTCTTTCTTAAACTTTGTGACGGAGGGAATACTTCACACAACTCTGGAGAAAGCTTATCCTTGTAGTGTTTAATATCTTTTCTGAGTTTGGGATGCTGCATTAAGATTCTATATCTCATTTGGCACTACACCATGCACAAAGCTATAGTTGGTTTAGAACCGCGTGCGATTTCTCTGAAATAAAAGGCTAAGACTAATAACTGCCCCAAGTTCACTTAGCCCTTGGGCTACAATTTGATTGAGCTTCAGGCTTAACATCCACACAGATGATTGCACGCACATATCTCAGTCAGCAAAAGTTTATACATGCCCCAATAGGCTGGTGGATCCAAATTCAGGAATATCTATTTGGTTATGTAGATACAAATTCCTCACACATTTTTCTTGCAATCCAATAAAACAAATCTATCAGCTTGGCCCTATTTTACAATAATCTCAAAAGAAACAATTCCCACGCAAAACATTCTACCAAAGCAAACAAATTTTAAACCATTTTTAGGGCGTTTGGGGTAGTGTTGGCAGTTTTTGATGATAAGCATAAGTAGAAAATTCAGATGTTGATAAGTGAAATGTAGAAAGAGCCAAGTAGAAAATAACTTGCCTCCCTAGAGATGATCTCAATTGTTTTTCCAATTGCGTACAATAAGTTTATGTTGGTACAAGCATCTTAATCGGTTCTACTCACCAGCCCTCAATCCTAAATGAGTTAACACCAGTTATATGAATCCATGACATCCTTTGTAGGAATCATAATTAGCCTATTAGGAAACTCCTTGATCTAAATTCTAAGCTAAGGACCATCTATACTTGCATACTCGAAAGACATCAGCTTTAGGCAACCAGTAACCAAAATAGGTCTTAATACCATTTATAGAGCATATATATTACCTCAAAATCGTATCTTTACGAGCTTAAAACAAGTAAAGTAACTATTTTTACCTCTCAAATGTCACCCAAAAAAAGAAAAACAATGCTCCCTCAGACGCTCCGACCCAAATTACTTATCAATTTACAAAATCAAGATAGAATTTAAACTGTAAACTAATTTATAAAGTTCCAAAACAGTTTCTTAAAAGCTAAAACATAAAAACCCATAAAAAATTGTATATACCTCCAGTGAAAAATGAGGACGAGGGCCATCCACGAACACGAGAAACCGACCTCGATTCATCCTCTGATAACAAAGAGGAAGCCGATAGAGAAGAAGCAGAACCAAAATGACTCTTCACAGCTGCCATCTTCCCAACAACCTCTAGTATCCTATGAGGATCAAAATCACCACGATGACTATGTATTCCCCCAATCTTCACATACGGTTGTGGAGGTGGGACCCAGTAAGAGGATCCAGGCAAGAAAGGTAACCAATCTGGAGCAGAACGCCTCACGATAACCGAATGGATTACCTCCTCCAACTTCTTTACCCCACCGTCCGATCCACTAGATGAGGAATCTAGGTCGATCTCGATTAACTGAGGGTGCGGTGGTTCACCTTCACCGTCACCGGATCCGCCGCCGGAGCGATTGGAGTTTGAACGGTGCCGGAGAGTGAGGAGAAGAGGTGGAGAGAATACGGGTCGGGTAAGAGTTCGGGTTCGGGTTAAGGGATTTGAGAGAAGACGAGCCATGAGAAAAGGGGGATTTTTTGGTTTGTTGGTAAGAAGAGAGCAGAGAGATGAGTCAATTATAGGTAACTGGTTTACTTGTTAGGCAGGTGGAAATTTCGAGAGACACTTTTGACGTGGCAGTCGTGGGTGGTGGGTCTCATCGGGTAACGGGTAATAGTTAACGATTTAGATAATGATAATTTTCGTCGAAAATGTTAATAGCTTAATTGATTGTTTAGTTGAATCTTTATTCCGATTAATGAACATACATTTCCCCACATGTAATACCCTCACCATTTCTTCATTTTTTCATCTACATACGGAAGATATTATTTAGAATTCATGAATATGTTCGATAGGTGCAGATTCTAAAATATAGAAGAACTATACAAAATTGAATAAAAATATTATTTATTAATAATTTGATTTTAAAATGATAGACATCTCTGTCATTAATAGTTTAGTTTTTAAAATATCTTTATGTACTTTTAGGTTAAAAATATCTTCTTCTGTTTTTTAAAGATACATTATTTTTCTAATAAAGATATTGTAACTCACCAACTTAATATTCTGAACAAAAGAAGTTAGTGCTATAAAGCATAAGAGACTTATAAAATTGAAATAATTACATTATAGTGTAATTTAAAAAGTTATATTACACGATTTAGTTGGTATCCAATGCTTATCTAAATTGGTCTAATTCCATATTTTTCTCAATAATGAAGTTCCATCATTATTAACATTTTTTTTTCCACAAACATATATCAAATAATTGTTATCTTCTACCATAAAAAAATTGAATAGATTCAATTGCATTTTTTCGATGAAATTAAATATTTATTTCAAAAATTATCTCAATAATTTACTTTTGATCTATATCTCAATCTACTTATCAAAAAAAATTATTTTTCACCTTGCTTTATAATGAAACTTTGCTACTGATAACAACGTCGTATAATTTTATATAATACTATATATATATAATCTTGTATATCAATTTTATAAAAAAAAAATATAAAACTTTTGTTTGTCGTTGTATTGAGTTGAGTTTTTAGGCTAATTTTTTTGAAACTAAATTATTTTAATTAATATTTTTTGAGATAGTTTAAAAAGGAAATGTTATTACCTAACACCTTGTTTGGATGGTTGTTACATGTTGTAATATATTGTATTGTTAATTTAAACTCTATTTGTTTTAACTGTTACTTAAATTCTATTGTATCATATCATATCGTGTAAAAATTCATCCTTGGGTAACGATGAAAAGACTCATTTTATGTAATGATCGATTTGCTATGATCATGTCGTTACCTTAATATTTTCTATTCATTTTATCTTTATTTATTTATTATTTAACTAGTAAAATTACCCGCGCTTCGCGCGGGCATTTAATATCACAAAATATATAAAATAATACTTAAAAACCTAGCCACTAAAACACTATATTATCTTACATAAAAAATTCATAATGTAAAGGAAAATGAAAATTCTTACATCTTATCATTTATTCCTTAATAACATAAGCATAAATTAATGATTGTAAAAATACATACCAGAATATGTAACATAAGAAATAGTGTCGCTGAGTCACTCAACATGAGTAAAATACATAAATATTTAATTGTGAAAAAGAAGAATAAGAAAAGGTTCAGAATTTTCGTTGTTTCAAAATGAGAGGAAGACAACAAACGGTAGTATGAACAAATATTTATTCTGCCTTATCGGAAATGTTACAACTATTTGGAAAAGTTGCAACCCTTCAAAAAGGCCACAACCTTTCAAAAAAGTCACAATTTTTCATAAAAGTCACAATTTTTTTATAAAAGTCGCAATTTTTCATAAATGTCACAGCTTTTCATGAAAGGGGAGACTAGTTTTAGAAATAAATAAATAAATAAAAAGGGAATTCTGGTTTGTGGTGGCGCCACGTAGACGGGCCTAAGGTTCTCTTTTCTCTCTCTATATATATATGATATGATAATTATATTTCATCTTTTATCTTACCTTTTCATAATAATTCTATTCCAATTCTACTTTTCTTGTAGATTTATCATTCAAATTATGAATGTATGACATTATATAACGACAAAAAACAATAAAAATTATCCAAATACTATATTTATTAATACAATAAAAAAATAAAAAAATAAAAATACAACACAACACACTATAAATACGATACATTGTGAAACAATACTAACGATCATCCTTACATAGTGTTAAATTGTTACAAATACAAAAACCCTTACATAAACCCTCCAAAAAACATTTCTTTCAGCAGCAGCCATGGCCGAACAACAGAACTCCCAACTCTCATCTCTTCGTGCTCTCGAGCTTCGTCTCTTACATTGCTCTATTCCATCCTCCTCTTCTTCCCATCAATCAACACCCACTACTTCTTTTTATCACCTCCATACCCTTATTGAACAAGTTCTACTATTCATCGAATCGGGCCAATACACACAAGCACTCTCATCTGATGGAGCTAAAGCTATTTTCACCTCACAACAACTGAATCATCATAAGCTCAACGATTCTTCCGAGTTTGCTGAATCTTTTTACTCAGAATTTGTGCCTCAGTGTGTTACTCTGTTCTTAAATGCAAATGGGGTTGAAGATTCTGCTCCTAATAGTGTTGCGAAGTTGTATAAAGCAATTCTTGTCATGGCTGTTGCTGTGGCGGCTCTTCTTGGTTTTACTCAGTGTAATATTACTGGGTTAGTCTCTATTTAACATCCCTTTACATATTTGCTCTCACTTGTCCTTTTTTTTTTCTGTGGTTTTTGGCAATTTGAATCTATTTTCTTTATGCTACTGAAAGATTTCTGTTTTGTGCATATGTCCTCGACAAAGAAAGACTTTCAACATTAGACATTGGAAAGTTTTTCAGTAGTCAAGTTAATTTTATCAATGCCCATTTAATATTACCAATTATTGTTTCCAAGATCAGTTTTTGATTTAGCTTGAGCATTAGTTTTAAGTGTGGGTTGAAATTAAAATTTCTTATATAAAAGAAATGTAGAGAATTCTAAGACAGTTTTCAATTACATAATTGTTAGGCCCTTCGAATGCTGTGAAGGATGATTAAAAGACTGTAGAAATTAATATCTTTCTGTAAAATATGTAAAAAAGAAAATCAAACGTGAGAAATTTATGTAAAATATTTCAGTTAGACAAGAATTGTGGACCTTTTGAATGGAATGAAGGATGATTATATTGTGTAGAGAAGTACTATTTTCAACCTTTTGATGCCTGGCTTAATGCATTGGTGGTGTATAAGCAGAGCTATATGTTTCTTTTGTTGTATTTATTGAGTCTGTTACTTTGTTATTTTATAGGCCAATGGTGAAGTTGCCGCCAATGCCTTTAGGTGCAATAGTTTTTGGTGACGAAGAGATAAATACTGATTCTGGTGGATGGTCAGAATGGGAAGTGTGGGCGCAAAAGGAGTTGATGTCAGTTGGTTCTGACTTGCGCGCTAAATTTTCGAATTTGCAGGTAAATTTCACTTCATTACATATATCGTGCTAAATGACGCGTATGAGTTCTCTTGTGAGCATGAACTAGTAATGACACATTTGGTGTTTCTGGAAATTTCGATGTCGTATATTCTGTCAAGTGTAGGGTCATTTATTGCCTATTTATCGTGATAGGTAAAGCTGAAAGTTATTGACAGGATGAAAAGCTCTATCTGCTTGTTGTAGATTACTTTACCCATTTGAAGCAATAGAAAGAAAAAAGTCTGTATTCCATCTTGTCAGAACCATTGAGATGAAAGAAAGAAAGAGAGAGATAATTGTTGGTATTGATTCTAACTTGATTTTAATGAAAGGGAAGATACACCTAAATATAGGTGTGAAATAGAGAATTGAGTGTGAATGGGTAAATACAGTAAATCTAGCACATTGCGCCGCTTGACCCGCTCATTAAATCTGCGCCTTTTGGTACCAAACTGTACTCTCAACAAGTTCATTGCATAGACTTAATAATGGGTTATTTAAAACTTTCTATGGGATTAACCTACAAGTTTTGATAATGTAAAATGATACAGGGAAGCATATTATTCTGCAAGTATGCATCCATCTTATGCCTAGTCCTTTTTTCTTTTTTTGAGTTAATATATCTGTATGTGTGCTTCTTGGAATAAATGCCTACAAAGACTTATGTTTTCCTTATTAGCCAAATTGTTTTATTGCATACACCACTGAGTTGATGCCAAAGTTTTCCTTTTCATTTTCCTCCCACTTTGGTCCTCCTTCTGTAGTATATAACCTTTGCCAAGATACTGCTTATGAGGACGAAAGATCTTTTGTCAGAAGGAAACGACTCGGGAGTGGATGGAGCCAGAAGCATCTCGTGGTGGTTAGCTAGGCTGTTAATCATCCAACAAAAGTTGTTAGATGATCGCTCGTCTTCTTTGTTTGATCTATTGCAAGTCTTCATGCGTGAAAGTTTGCAACATATTGGTTCTCTGGAGAAAATTAGATATTATTGGGCTTCTCTGATATCAGAAGAGGATGCTTCTGCTATTGTATCTATGCTTCATTTGGAAGCAGGAATAATGGAACTTACCTATGGGCGAGTGGATGCTTCCAGGTTAGCTATTTGATGTAGAAGCTTCTATGATATTTTCAGTCACAATTCTTTAACTGTGCAAACCTGGGTCATTTGCCATGGATTGCCTATCCAAAGTTAGTAATGATTTCATTTTCATGCTGGCTTCTATACTTGTGTCAGTCTATAGACAGGGCTAAAAAGATAATAATAAAAGCTCATCTCATTAGAGTTGCATGATATGTATTCTGTCAGCTAACGGATGACTGCTTGTGAACCTTGATTTTGTTTTGCTGTAATCTGGATCTTTTATTTGTGATGCTGTTCATGCTTGGTCTTCCTTTTCAGCTGTATTTATCTTTTCTTGTTAGATTGTTAATTATCTTCCTTTTCATTGAGCTGTCCCTGTTTCGTCTTTTAATTATTCTTTTTAAGTTCTTTAGCCCTGTATACTTGACAGTTTATCTGTATCCTATAAATCATACTTGGGC